CTTTCCCTGCCTCGGCATTGCTTTTCCTGCCACAGCAGCAGATACTCACCCAGGGGGGCTGCCAGCAGGGTCAGCAAAGCCAATGTTGGTGTCATGGTCATTTTGGCTGATGCCTGGTGTCCTCAACAGGCAGGAGGGGGCAGGTCTGTGGAGACACCGAGGCACCCAGAGCTGGGGATGGTATTTAAGGAGGAACCTTTCAGGAGTTAAGCCGGAAATGTGGTCACGCCATTTGCATGTGCCTGTTTTATAAGGGCCTTTTTATAGAACACAATGTAAATCTGGGGGTGTGTTGGGAGGGAGGTCCAGGCTGAGCCCGGCTCCAGCAAGTTGTTCATGGGATCCTGCCATTTTTCCTCGCGGGGGAGTGGGCTGGTGACAGACTGAGCTCTGTTCTCAGGGAATGGCTCCATGTTTCCAGCCACACTCACCACCCCTGATATGCCCTGAGCCCACGGGGCAGTGATCAGAGAGGACCTGAGGCTCTGGCACCCAGGGGATGTTGTATAACCAGGACCCCCTGGGCCAGGGCTGTCCCTGCTGGTGCTCAGGTGGGTGTCAGGGCTCCAGGCTGGGAGCTCTCCCAGCACAGGGGTGCTCCTTGCCCAGCATGGGCACAGTCGATGGAGCTCTCCACATTAGCATGGAAGGGGGCTGCTAGTTCAGGCAAGGCGGGGGTTCAGGAGCCTTGGTGCTGGCTTGCGCCCAGAGACCCCAGAGGCTGGTTCTGGGTGTGAGACTATGCAGGGCTGACTCCCAGGGAGCCTCTGCTCAGGCATGAGGCTGCCCCCCTCCCTAGGGCGACTGTTACCCCTGCACCCAGGGTCCCCAGAAACCCCCCTGGCAGATCCTGGCCCTGTCACAGACCCTTGTCCCAGGGAATGTCACTCCTTCGCCCTTCCCCCAGCTCTTGAGCAAGTGCTCTGTTACACAAATGTCTTAGCTCAGGGCTGTTGCCTCTGACAGCTTGTTGCTCCCTGGGATTCCAGGAAGGCAGCAGCCTCAGCCCCCACTTGGATTTCCTGTGCTCATCCTGGGAGGGAAATGAAAGTTATGTAAAAGGTTCCTCCTTCCCCTATGGCTGGAGACACGCAGGGCTCCTATGGCCAGGGGAATTGCGCTTCTGCACGGAGCAAAGCCTGGCTCTGTTGAAAGCCCTGCAGCAGCTCCATATGTGCTGAGCTCTTCTCCAGGGTCAGCATGTTGTGGGTTGCAGAAAGGAAGCTGTTACAGCCACCCTCCACACCCACCGCCTCTTTGCAGGAGCCTCTGCAAAGAAGGGCCACAGAAGGAGCCCTGGATCTGAATGCTCTCAACCATTTAGCATGGCAGCATTTTGCACCTGCACCTGGGACTTGCTGCTGTTTTGACAGAAGCGCCCGTCCTTCCCTGAGCCACTTCTCCTAGGCATGCCTGGATTTAGGTGTGAGGGGCTGGGAGAGAGAGAGACGCCCTCCTTTTATCTAGCCACCTTCTGCCAGGGGCAGTAACAGGGCCTGGTCTTGGACCATGGCAGCTGAGCCCTCATCTCCCAGGCCCCTGCTGCATGCCTGTGCCCAGAGATGCTTTGGGCTGCCTGATGGGTGGATTAGTCCTGAACTGAAGTCCTGAGGTAGCTGTGATGCCCATGTGGGACTTGTGCCCTTCAAAGACCTGCATCATGTTGCCAGGAACGTGGCCTAGGAGGGCTGGGAATGTGCCCAGAGGCAGCAGGCCCTGGGATGCCTTGGTTGCTTTAGGTATCCAGGCTGCAAGCACATTGGTCTAGAGGCAAAAGGAGTCAAAACTCATGGAAGAGGTGATGTCTCTTATTAAACTAAATAGATATTTGCCAACAAATTATTTTTATTTATTTGCAAGTTTTCAGGCACGCTCACCCTTCATCAGGCATAGGAGAGGGCCAAGATTGTAAAAGTTTTTGTAGGTAGACATATGAATTTACATTTCTACCTAGAACTTTTTTATAATCTCTGCTCTCTCCTATGCCTAATGAAAGGTGAGTGTCTCCAAAAGCTCTCAAATAAAATAATTTAGTTGCTTTAGGACATTCCCGGGCTCCACCCTGCTCCCTGTGGAGGAGAGAATGGAGCGAGCATGGCACGGAGCAGGAACACCCTGAAACCCAGCACAGCAGCACGCCGGTTGGTGCCAGCACAGAGCTTGCTCCAGCTGCCAGCGAGGTGCTAGCTGCAGGAGGCTGGTGCAGCATGGTTTTTCCAGGTCCACGCTCCCTTGTATCCCTGGAGACCATTTCAGCCACATTCCTGTGGCTTGGCTGGCTCCCAGGAGCAGATGCCTGCAAACCAGCAAAGTGACACTCCCTGCAAGAGCTGGGCAGGAGTGGCAGTGACAGGTGGTATGGCCAAGAGCGGGCCACGTGGGCAGAGAGCCTGCCTGGGGCTGTGGAGCAGATGGCCCCTGGGCTCAGTGCTTTCCTGTGCCTTGAGGCTCTGCTTCTGCTCCAAGGGGAAGATTGCAGGCATGACATTGCTCAAGGTGTGACCAGCCCTGCTGTGCTGCAGACCAGGCCTTGTGAAATCAGGGACAGCCCCTCAGTGATGCTAAAAAAAAAAACTTCCTGCTTCCTCCTTGGTTCCCTTTTTTCAGCCAAGCTTTTAAACGCCTGGGTTATACCACAGGGATTGAAGGTCGAGGAACCGTCTGCATCCTGCTTGGTACAGCTGAGGCTGCACGGTGCCTCCTCACGGCTGTCAGGATGGTGGTGCGGAGCCTGGCGCTGGCTGCCCTCATGCTGGCAGCTTGCATGGTGCTAGCCAGGGCCACCAACCCTGGGTTTGTGGCTAGAATCACCGAGAAAGGCCTGGACTATGGTAGGTTCTCAGTCAATCTCTGTCTCAGAGACAAGTGCTTGTAACCAGCTACATTGCAGGCAGGGAAATGGAGGTAGGAGGTGAGGAAGAACTTCCTTGCTTCAGGGGGGTTCAGCGCTGGAGCAAGCTGCGCAGAGAAAGGTGGAGCTTCTGTCCTTCAGGGCAGATTAGACAGATGCTTGCCCAGGGTGGGTTAGTCGGGGCTGATCCTGCCTGGAGCAGGGGGTTGGCTGAGATGTGACATGCAGGGGCCTTGCCAGCTGTGCTTTTCTGTGACTCCAGCAGCAGGGATGTAGCTGCCCAAATGGCTTTGCGAGGAGCATACAGCAGAAACACCAAGGCCAGACATCACACTATGCTAATGCATCTGCGCTGCTTCCAAGTCCAGAATGAGCTGTGGTCCTACTGCCTGGTGCTGCCTTATGCCTATGGACATACCTGTCTTGAGCTCTTTCTGGGCTCCTTCTCTAGAAGGAGGATGGTTGTGACTCTAGTCTTTCCTGAAGGGCTATTCCAACCCTATCTCCCTGCACCAGCCCTCACAGCCCAGCTTGGAGGGGTCTGTGGGGATCCAGTCACCCTGACTTTCCCCCAGCCCTTGTTCTGTGTAGCAGTGACCTCACCTGGCTGTGTTGGGGCTTGGCTGGCTGTGGGAGGGGGCAGCTGTAACTTGGCCTCATGGCCAAGAGGCTTAAGCCATTAGTTGATAAGTCAAGAGGAGTATCATGGGGCGGGGGGGGGGGAGGGCGCAGACTGATGAACTTGGGTGGTTGTTACTGGCACTGATGCAGCTGGGTTATGGCACTGAAGCCCTGGCACTGAAACAGCTGGGTTATGGATTAAAACATACCACATGAGGAACAGCTTATTAGTCAGCTGTTGTAAGAGCTGTGGGCACTTCTCCAGAGAAAAGGGCCTTCCCCTCAGCTAGTGCGGGTATGCAGGGGACACGGCCTCACTTGCTGATGTGGGCAGGCGCTGCACCCTGATCTGAGTCCTGCTGTGGGTCTCCACTGCAGATGTATAAGCAATGGCAATACAGAGGGACAGTTCTGTTTGCTGGATCCTCTTGCCCTTGGCAGCCTGAAGCTTGCTGTGCCCCAGCTGTCTTCCTCTGCTGCCATATCATGTGATGCCCAGGGTCCTTAAATGTTGCTCAATGCAGCCCTTGTCTTGTGCCAGAAGGCAAAGCCCTTTGTCCTTGGCTGAGACTTGATGTTAGCTATTAGCATGTCAAACCCCCTCCCTTGCTCTGCCTGTGTGCAGGGAAGATCACAGGATATTGCCGGCCTGTGGCTCCCAGCCCTTTCCTGCCACAATGGCATCCACGTCCAGGGTTGCCATCAGGCAGCCCCAGCTTCATGGCAGAGGCCAGATGGTGATGTGGTCTTTCTGTCTCTGCAGCCCGCAAGGAGGGCATTGCTGCCCTGGAGAAGAAACTGGCCAAGCTGAAGCTGCCGGACTTCTCGGGGTCTTTCAAAGTGAAACCCTTTGGGAACGTGCACTACGAATTCTACAGGTGAGGCTGCCCCACTGAAGGCAGCAATCGTTTCCCCTGGGCAGGGCTGGAGGAGACCTCAGGGGAGTGGAGGGGAAGCTGGGGCAGAGCAGGACCAGACATTGGGCACAGTGAGAGAACAACTCCATTTCCAAGAGCTGGATTGAACCCTTAACCCTGCCCCAGGTGCTGCAGATACAAACAAGTTATGGTGAGATCACTCCCCGTCTCTCAGGGAGGGGGCATGGGCAGGGAAGGAGCATGTGCCCAAGCAAGGGTCAGACACGGTGCCCTCCCGGCCAGCAGTGCTGGCAGCTTGCGGGGCAAGGATGCAGGACCATCCATTACCATCTCTCCTGTGCCAGCCCTGGGCTCTGGCTGATGGCACCTTGCTCCCTTGCAGTTTGGACCTTCACAGCTTCCAGCTGCCGAGCTCGCAGATCGTCCCCGTCCCTAACGTGGGCCTCAGGGTGTCTGTCTCCAAGGCCTTTGCCCAACTGACAGGGAAGTGGAAGGTGAAGAAACGCTTCATGTGAGTGCCCCTCACCTTGTTGTGTGACCTTTTTGTCTCCTAGGATGTGTTCAGGCCGTTTTTCCCTGCCTGCCTTCTGCCTTGTCATTTCCTGCCTGGCTGACTTGCTTCCTTAAACAGGGGGTTCAGCCTCCTCTCACACTCATCTTACCCATCCCATAGCTCTCACCAGGCCTTCCAGGGGCTCTGCAGCTCCTCTCTTCCCTGCTGTGTGGGTTTCAAGGGATTTTTTTGTTGCCATCTCTGCTGTCTCTATATGAGTGGTTGCTGTGATTAGTGAGCACTGTGATGGAAGCTCCCA